TCTGCTTTCTGTTATAAGTAAGGTGCTTGCATCGGCAGGCCGTCGGCGATCTAGCTCTGTTATACCTCTACGCCAACGAGATTTTCTCGTCAGAGCTCTCCTCTATGATGCTGCGACACGTTCTGCCTGCCAGGCAGACTCGCCTGACTTCGACCTCCCATCCTAACCATGCCGAACTTCGAAGGTCCAGAACAGGCCGATACGACCCCTCCTTGATTAGTTCAAATATCAGCTTAACAAACCTTCTTCAAGGTGCCCTGGTGTCCTGGCATTTAGACTATCTGACTGCCTGGCTGCTTCGGTGTAAAAAGAGCAAATAAAATTAAACATTTCCAATAAATTGAATAGGATAGAATGAAATGAAAAGTCAAGAGTCCTATCTTAGAGGAGTATTGTTCGGATTTTAGAATGGTAAACAGCTTTCAGCTTGCCGTTCTTAAGCAGTTGAGAAGGAAGCAGAATTTCTTGATGCCTTAAATTTATCATCGCTGTGCGACTCTTCAGCTTGAGTAACATTTCCTTACTACTGCCAAACAGGTAGAGAGGACAAGTAGATTTTTCACTGCTAGGAGTGAAACTGAAAGAAACCGCTACAAAATAAACTTAAATTCAGATAAAAGAATAAAACATTTTATTTTTTATTTGTTGATTCGTTTGGAAGACAAATTAGGTGTTAGACGTAATCTTGAAAAGATATGCATTCGGCTTATATATTTAGAGATTGCACAGTAATTATTTTCGTCAAAACATCTTCTCCTATTAACCACGACTTATTTTGATGTTATTCATACATTTCAGTCATTAATCTAAGAGGTTATCTTAGATAGCTATTAACACAGCTCATAAATCCACATGTATGCACTTTATTATCATCTGTAAAACGATATATCAGGTACTAATCATAAAAGGCAATTAACCAGATAATGAGAGGCTATTAACGTCATCACCAATATTATTATTCAAGTGATGTTTTAAAAAAAATGTGTTTTCTAGAAATATACAAGTCGATATTACATATGAGTATCATGCGGTCGACTGTTAAAGATGTGGAAAATTTAGCGTCTGGCAACACGTTTTGGCACGTAATCGTAACAATATTCATATATATGTATATATATATGCATCCGGTTGCAAAAAATATTTTAAGTTAGAGGAAAAATCCAATAATCAGTAAGCTTTTCGCAAACCTCGCGATTGTGATCCATGATTGATTAAGCTCTTAGAACTATGTTCAATGTTCAATGCTCTAAATAATCAGTGGAAGAATGGTGAGCCAGGGTGTTAAATGATGTAAGATTTACTTCTTCCTGACGGACTAAGTATAAATATTGCGTTCGCCCTCCACACTGATTAACTTGTACGGAAGCGGGAATATACCCATAATCAAGTAATTATTTTTTTTTTCTTATCTAGGCTCCATTACGATTATTTAAACGACTGTAATCGGTACAATTGTGTTTAGTTTGCTGATCTAAAAAAAGAAAAATAATTATTGTTCTGTACAGTATATTTCATGTTAGCATACAGGGTTATTCCACGTAGAACTGTACCGATGAAACACTCAGAAAGTTAATGTATATTACTCAAGTCTTGGATCCGACGTGAGGCTCATACTATACTCAAGATACCTCAAATACTGCGTGTAAATGACAAATGCTTTTGTCATACAATTTGCAACGGGTTTCTGATAGTACGAAACCTACTTAGATTTTATTCCATATTTGAATATGAATACGAGTAGTATAGGATTGACAAAAGAGAACAAAGTTAGATTCCCTACGCTACTGGGCGGTTTTGTTATCGTGAAAGATTTATTAAATGCGATATTATGCTTTTTAGATGTTCTATGACATGCATATCACGAAAAGACATGTCATTCATTTTTGTCTTTCAGTCTGTCTGTTTGTTGGTCTACCAGCGAATCTTATAGCCGCCTATAACTTGAGAAGTACCGTTCGAATTTCGATGAAATTCTTACACAATGTTGCCGCTATGCCAAGGACGCAAAAGCTACTAGTAGGGCAGGGAAATAATGTTTATGGCCGTGTTTGACCGGTTTAATACGTTTACGTAGGAAGTACAGGATCAACCCACTTGACGCCATCTTTTGATAATTTCATCGTATTGAAAATCAGGTTAGTTTTGTCTGAGGTCCTCTACTTTGCAAGTAAATATTTTTCGAGGGGTATGGAAATATAAATGTATCTATTAGTAATTTCAGTTAGTTATGGGGAAAATCGGGCAAACTTCTAAAAATATCACCATTGATTGACGTATGTTACCTGAAAATACTCAATTTATAGGTATTAGAGAGAGAGAGAGAGAGAAATAGAGATAGAGAGGCGCAAAAGGGTTTGAAGATCCTAGCGATATCTACGAGGCTACGCGAGATAGTAGCAGAACGAAACACTTGAGCTCAAAGTACATATCTAAATTAGTTTTTGTCGCATAGATGGCGCTAGGATCTTTAAAATCCTTTTTGAGCACCGGAATACAGTATATAGTTGGATATATTCAGACAGAATACGTTAAGTGCGAGGTGTATAGATACGACTGGCTACGCAGGTTGGTCATTTAGACACAATTTGAAGTTCAAGCTTACCTTTCTCCTTTGTTTCTAAACTTGATCGTGGAATATTCTGCGTAGAGCCCTCAGAGCTAAATAGCCAAATACAGGTTTTCGAGAATAACTGCTGCTTCTATATACCTACATATAGTATGCGAGCAATAAGGTACACCGACGATTGGTCAAATGAGAAATTTTCACAGTAATGAGCAAGTTTTCCTAGTAACGGATATACCAAAGCCTCAAGATAATAATCGAGATATTATGTTTCGAAAACTCTAAACTAAATGGGTCAGTATCCTACCCTGCCTCCCTAGCCCTCTTCGTCCTCCGTGATAAGGTATATTGTTTTGTGGTACTATGCGAGTCAGTATTAGTCAGTATCCAAATCGGGCGCCACCCGTAGTATAGCTTATCCTAGTTTATAAACAAGTCGCATTTAAAAAATCTAAATTGCCACATTCCTAGAACAGTAACGTAGTTATTGATTTGATGTTAGTTTACTATATGGGCGAGAGCCTGTTGATAATCCGTGAGTGTCTTCACTACGTCGTCCTCAATGTTTCCATCAGAGCTGCATAAGCTACTTTAGATTCCTTTATATATCGAAGCAGCCGCGCTGGAAGAAGCCTTACTGCCGGCGAGATATCGCGGCTGCTATGATTATATCCCAAAGAAATTTTTTTAATACGATTTTTGAACTGCCTAAGGTTAGTAGAAATGGGGGAAGCTTTCTCTGGTAGATTGTTCCACAACTTCGACACCATCGGGACAAAGGAGCGGTCGTATCGGCAAGTTCTGGATGTACGATGTTCGACACGGTTAGGATTGGAGGCCAAAGTTAGGCGGGTGCGTCTGACAGATACATCGAGCGGCGGCATCATGGAAGAGAGCTCTGAGGAGCAAAGCCCATTGGTGTAGCGGTAGAAAAGAGCCGACGGCCCGCCGGTGCGAAAGGGTCCCGAGACTGTCTATTAGAGAAGAGTCATCGATCAGTCGGACTGCCCACACATGCATCAGGTCCTCGGCCATCCATCGAAACCGGATGAGCGACGCTAGGACGCTTTTTGATCGTCATAGTACATACTGTGGTCTCCAGGTCTCTCGTCAGAGAGGAAGCCGTCGCTAGTCTTCTTTTTTGGAGCTTAACGGCAGAGATCGGCTTGTCATTCTGAATTCCTGCATGCAAGGTGCTGTCATTAGCGAAGCTGTGGATTGGGTTGATCATGCAGGAAAGGAGGTGGTTGATATGTAAGAGGAACAATGTCGGAGCCTTGACCGATCCCAATCCCCGCGTTGACGTTGTGGGATGAAGAGGAGAACCCGTCAATCACGGGAGGCCATAGGATGGAAGTTTGCTTAAGAGGGCAGAGTGCCACAACTGATCGAACGCTTTCGTGACGTCAAGAGCAACGACATGAGCCTCACCATGTAGGACTGAATGAGTTTACCCCACAATTGCCTGACGTAATTTCCTTACCGTATTTTTCTTCAGCTTCTTTTCTACATTTTCGGTGCTGTTTTGCAGTAAATTAGATTTGCTATTTCAAACGTAGGTGTTTCTGAAAAGGAAAGTTCCGTCAGGATAGGTACCCTGTACATAAAATACTTCTAAAATTTAACGGGTCTAAGAATCCGCTTTTTTAGACGCCTGTTATTAGATTAGAATGCAATTCTGAATGTACTTTGATGCATGATTGAGTCTGGTGGCAAATTGGCCGTACTGGAAATGTGTGAAGTTTTTCAAAAACCCTTTGAAATTCAACATGAGACCTACGTTTATGTCACTTACCTTACACCAGTGTAACAGTGGTTAGGACATATTTGCGACATTGACAAATTGTTATAAAAAGAGTATAATCCACGGAAAAAATCTGTGAGTCAAAACCGAGTAAATAGAGGAGGGATCATTGACGTCTTACCCAAGGTAAGACGTCAATGGGAGGGATACAATTGTACTACCCTCAAACAACATTGTGACTTATTCTACAGGGTATTAGGGAAAGCTACCGGGAAAATTTAAAGACAGATTCAGCACGCAGGAATATGAAAAACCTTCACATAAATATTGGCTAGGATGAGATTCTCCAAGTTTCCATGATAATGCTGGGGCTTACTTTATTTTTTTCGTTTTTCGTTGTGATCGTTGAGACAATTGTTGTCAAATTGTGTCGAATCTGCCCTTCATTGTTTCTGACAATGGCACTGTAAGACTTCGTATAAAACTCAATTTAATCTCTCTTTGTATATTTTGTAACTGACTGAGAGCTTGAAGACACCTTAATAGGGGTTATAGTACTGAACTTAAACATTAAACTGCTATCGTTTATACCCTGTCTCAAGTAGGAAGCAAAATCTCTTTTGTGCAGTACCTCTGTGGCAGTAACTATACATTTCTTAAGTCCGGCAACGCTGCTTCCCATGACGCGCTGTCATCTGTCATGACGGGTTGTCGTGGCTGTCAAGTGTAAATTCATCAAGACAAGAATCAAGATCAATAATCCTGAAGTGAGCGTTTTGGTTAGCCTTTTGTGATAATTTTTTTGAATATATTTACAATATATTGCTTCTAGGAGAAGATAAAACATGGACTTCCAGAACAGGCCTGGAGGGAAGACCGGGGGAGGAGGCGTAGCCTCCTGGTCGGAGACGAACAGAGACCGGAGGGAAAGGCTCCGGCAGCTTGCTTTAGAGACAATCGATCTACAAAAGGACCCCTATTTCATGAAAAATCACTTGGGATCGTATGAATGTAAACTATGTCTCACCCTGCACAATAATGAGGGCAGTTATCTGGCCCATACGCAAGGTACGTAATCTGGCTCCAAGGCAGGACCAAGTTTTATGCCCATCTTTGTGGCTGGTGAGAAATGAAAAGTGATTCAAATCACAGTGATTGTCCAAACACAATATATCCCCTATGGCAGGGCGACTGCTGCTGTTGTCCTTAAATAGTCCTCCTAATCCTTAGTACATAAAATAAGTGAAAAGTGAAGGTCTAGTACTGTCAATTTGTATTTTGCTGTATCAACAATTTATAGTTCAGTTGAGGTTAGAAAGTCATGCACACATCAATGAAAGCCATAGATCAATACCTATCGAAATATGTCTGATCCGAGTTATCTGAAAGTCAATAATCCACCTTTGTGAAATTTTGAAAAACCTGAATGATCACCTAGCCAGACTATCAGGTATATATATATATATTATATCTAGTGAAATAGTGAGTCTTCCTGACCACTATGCTGTTTTTTGGACAAACTTCATAAATGTCTAAGTAAATAAAAAATGTTTATACTTTAGCTGGATAGATATATCCTCACCTTTCCAGGGTTATTCTCTAGAATTCATGATGAGTCAACCCTAAAAATGTTATCCATCTACAATAAAGCCACCATATATAAAATTGCACCAACTAGTGTGAGCAGTGAAAGTCAATTGAGATGGGAATATTCTCTCATGTTTCATCTGCGTGGTTTTATTCGATTAATATCTCCTGTACTATTGACTTCTAGGTAACACATAGAGGTTAATTTGATAGTCACAATGTTCTCTATTACCTGGATTTCATTGATCCATACATACCTTAATAGTATGTACAACAAGAGTTCGAAATATGTTGTCTCATCATTGTAGTTTAAAATAGCAGTGCACTCCTTAACCTTTTAAAGCAGAGGTGCATGGTTAGAAACTTATCATCTCGATCTTCTCTCTAAACTCATCCATTAATATATGTCCTATTCTAAGCATTGAATAAATTCACAGATGTAAATTGGAAAAATTTACTTATGTTTCAGCGACCTAGGTGGCACTTTTCGATGTACAATGTAATAAATCTACCATGCTCACAATTTTTGATTTGTTCATGGGGCGTTTGCTTTATTTTTTAAAATTGAACATGTTTATTATATTCTAAATCAATACCAAAATTTTGTTTGTAGTTTTAAATGATTTTTCACATCATTTCCAGATATCTGGGTTTTTATTCATAAGATTAATGGCTACTTTTTTATTTTGATTTTTCTAGGCAAGAAACATCAAGCCAACTTAGCAAGGAGAGCTGCAAAAGAAGCTAAAGATGCTCCAACTATGCTTCAGCCTGAGAAGCCGAGGGTAGAGCCGAAAAAGTTTGTCAAAATTGGCAGACCTGGTTACAGGGTTACAAAGCAAAGGGATCCAGATAATGGTCAGCAGAGCTTGTTATTCCAGATTGATTATCCAGGTTGGTATTAAGGTTATTATTAATCATGTGATCACTCACATGCCATCACTTGCACACCTCTTGTTTATATCCTGTGATATTACCTTATTGAGTTGTTATGTTTAAGATAGTAAAATGTATTGGCTACAACAACAACAAATACTTATTGGCCAAACCATCAACTTTGAACTAGCTTATGATCTCATCTTCATACATTTTAAAACCCAGGTCTTTTTGCATACTGTTTGGTAGGCAATGCTGGTCTGGCAGTTAAAGTATTATTGAACTACTGTAAAGTCTGGGCATACCTATGAATCCTTAAAAATAATGTCATGTTTTATGTTAACATCTTCTGTAGAACATGTCATATGTACTCATAGTTTAATATTATTTGTTGCTCAAGCAAATAAAGTTAAGCAACATTTGAAATGTTATCATCCAATTTTAATATTCCTTCTGGCTGTTGTTTTTTATTTTACAATATAACACTTACAGGCAGAATTGATATTGCTTCAGTAATAGTTTGACACTGTTGTTCTCTTGATCATTTAGTTCTTTCCTCTTTTGAATATATCTATACTTTAAAGTTGAGTCATTAATTTTCAGATAATGATTGCAGAAGGAAGATAAACCAAAATATGTGTGTAAAAATAAAAAAAAATGTAAACATGTGCCATTTTTTATTTCGTTTGAGCCACGCAACAAACACCACTATTCACTCACGCGTTACCGACTGACACATCGACTGAATACAACTGAATAAGATTGTACATTGTAGTAAAAACATCGTTTCAAATTCTTTCGCTTTTTTGTTTCCGATGCGATGAACGGATAAGGCGGATTATATCCGTTGTTGCCAAACACGAGCACATAATATTATTATTGAGACAGGGCGGTACTCAAACTTCTAAAGGGCTATAACTTTGTTACTTTAATTTTTCCAGAAAAATGTTAAAGGAAAAAAACATTTCTTTTGATCAGATCTACTCACTGTTAAAATAAATGACTCAACTTCGAAGTCACCCTATATGGCAGTAACCATATGCATTTGCTGTTCTGATTTTATTATAAAACAATCATTTTCAAATCAACAATTCTAAATTTTTGATTAGTAACATAATAAATCATTCTGTTTTTCCAGAAATAAATGACAGTATCCTGCCTCGACATCGTTTCATGTCAGCTTATGAGCAGAAAATAGAGCCTCCAGACCGCAAATGGCAGTATCTACTTTTCGCTGCTGAACCATATGAGACCATAGCATTCAAGGTCCCATCTAGAGAAGTTGAGAAGACTGATACTAAGTTTTGGACACATTGGAATAAGGATACCAAGCAGTTTTTCTTGCAGTTTGCTTTCAAAAATGAGAATAAAAGGACAGTTAACACAGTAAGTTGATTCATATTATTTTTTTCACTGATTGAAATGCAATTCTATTTATTCATAATGTCGATGCTCCTGTTGTTTAAAGTAATCTCCTTTAATAAAGGATGTAGAAATCTCTGCATAGGGTCTCATGTGAGACACATCATGGGGGCATTGGTTATGATTTGAAGTGTGGAAATATAATTTGGAATTCAATTTTCAGTGATTCTGTTTGTTTCTGCCAAGGGACACTCCCAGATATCCAATGGAATTTTTACTTGGTATTACAGTCCCATCCACAGAGATTTCTGACCGGGCTTGTTGATGCCTGGTTATACAATAGATGGCCTGCATTTTCGAATCTATCAGCTACTGATCTGCCCAATCTAATGCTTCTTTCACCTCACATTGTTGGGGCTAGAATGCACAAAGAATAAAAGATTGGTCCAAGAACCAAACCCTGAAAAATACCAGCCTGTTGTACCTGTACCTCTATTATCAGTTTTGGTTCGAAATTTCATACCTTCGAGGGAGGATCTTGTAAGTTTCAGGAACCAGAATCTAAAACCGTTTTGGATCAGTTTCTAAAGGAGGCCTTCATGCCACATCTTGTCAAATGCCTTTGAGACATCCAGAAGCAAGATATATGTAGTTTTGTTAAGGGTTCATTATGCGCTTCACCAGGCTTTTGACTGAAGTAAATTAGCATGCTGCAGAGCTTGCTGACCAAAGCTTGTCCATTCCGCTTGAGCTGTATCTATTCCATTCTCAACATCTAAGGAACGACTTGTATAGCTCTCAATCAACGTGTTTCCTTGGAAGAGTTGCCTCATCTAACATTTGCTCATCACTTCCAATCTGACAGGAAGATGATTAGGGAAGTTATATTATATCTACAGTTTTGGATATGGCTGATGACATCTGGTGTCTCGCGAATTAAACAATGTAATCCTCAATACGAGCCTGTAGCTTCATCCAAAGAACTTGACGTTTTTGGGAATGTTCCTTAGACATAAGCCATTCCGAAAATTGTTTGAATTAATTATTGTATCTAACAATTTAATGGCATCTATGCTCCTCTTGTCCTCTGAGAGGGCACATATGTGTCGTTTTTTTTTTATACTCCAACTACCACTAAGGCCTAAGGCCTAAGCACCCATTGGGTACCGTGGGGCTATAGGGGGATACATGGGAAAGGGGGAACGCCACACGGACAAAAGCCTTTCCGAAAATTGTTTGAATTAATTATTATATCTAACAATTTAATGGCTGCGGACAGATTGCCTAGAATGCGTGAATGCTACTAATCAGTGGGCCAATGATTTGTTGCAGGAACCTAAGTGCGGTTGCTAGGTCCACACAGTGCTGGTTTAAGGAGAGTCTAAGGCCCGTATCGTCAGTCGTCCCTACAATTGTAGGGTTTATGGCCTCCTTGATTGTCATACTCCTTCCTCTCCTTCAAAAATTTCTAGATTACACTTGTCCCGTATCAGCGTCAGCACTCTCCTATTGTGAAGATATGTTTTCTTTTTAAATTGTAGGAAATTTCAGGCTGATCAAACATGATATAACTCACAAGCAAGCACAATTTGATGCAAATAGATATTTGTGACATAACCTCAAAATAGAGCGCTGACACGGAGAAGTAGAATTCTATGACAATCAAGGAGGCCATACAGGCGCCCTACAATTGTAGGGACGACTGACGATACGGGCCTAAGTATTCAGGGATGTTACTTAGGACCAAATATGTAGGTCAGGCTTTTTTCAAGTTGCCACTTTCCACAGTTCTCGCATCTAAGCTCCTCTTGTCATCTGAGAGGGCACATATGTGTCGTTTTTATTATACTCCAACTACCACGAAGGCCTAAGCACCCATTGGGTACCGTGGGGCTATAGGGAGATACATGGGAAAGGGGGAACGCCACACGGACTCTGGCGAGGGAACACGTGTGCATGCAACGTGCACACATTCTGGCTCCGTCTACGAGATCCGCCGGGTGGTATCTCCGCGTTCGACAGTCAGAGACCGTCTACCACCTACGGACAATCACAACATCCATAGCCAAGAGAAAAATTTCTCCTGGGACGGGACTCGAACCCGCACAGCGCACGGCGACTGATCAGGAGACTGAAGAGTCCACTACTGCGGCCACCGCTGCTGCCTGTGATCTGAAGCACATTTTAGACATTTTTGGGGGTGCCGTGCAATATGACTGTGCATGACTGTACCTTTGGTAGATGCGACACTACCCAATCAGTCTTTAGATCTTCTGAACCTCAACTCTGATGGCAAGCCCAAGCAGCTCGTTCTCTTTGAACATCTACTACGACGTTCAATCTTGGGCAGTATCACCACTACGAAAGGTATGGGTGCGCCCCACAACGTTTAAAGAGGATCATGCGGAGGGGGATGTGTTCCCTATGTACTAACTCCTCAATCTCTAATTCTGAAAATTGCTCGGATTACTACGTGAATTTTTCGTTCAGATTTAAAAGGAACTCCTTGGTGCTGCATGTTCTTTTTCTTGAAAAGACGAATGACCTTACGGTAGTCGCCATCGATTTCCGAAGTAATTCTAATATCCGAGTCAACAGTAACTACGCGTTTAATCTTTATGCCGAGACCTATAAACTCATAGCTGATTGTTCGCTACTTTGCAGATCCTCAAAACTAAAAGGATGATGCATCATGGTTTAGGTGGCTGCTCGGAAGCATTTGAGGAGCTGCATGGTGGCGATTATGTTGCACTGCAGCAACTTTACTACTATTTAGATAGCATGATAGAAGAGGGATATGATTGACATATCATCGTATAACTCGATAGAATAATGCTTTTTTGGCAAATAAATTTGAATTCGAATTAAATTTAGGAAGAGGTCCGTGAGTCTTTTTCTGTGACTTACTTTGGGGAATCTATCACCCTGAACCTCGTCATCGGTTGTCGTCAGTATTTGGGGCGGTATTTTGTGGGTAATTGATCTACTGTCCATTCTGTCACTATGTTTGTTCATTTTATTGATTAAGGTGCTTACATGGGCTGTAAGCACGTCGATTTTACTGTTTAGGCATTCGTTTTGTTCCTTGATGAGCTTGGCTTGTTCGTCGTTCATCCTCATTAGGTGTTGGATGACCTGCTCCGTTTCAGTGACAAACTCGGTGTCAGATGATCTAATGTGAAGTTTATTTTCAGTTTTCTCCATTAGAGAGACCGTCAGACCATCCAGGGTCAACTTACGTTTTGCTTAACTTTCAGCTAGTTTAAACAAAAAAAGTTTGGAGACAAAAAAACTTAATACACTCTTTCCTGTACAGGGCTTGCAACAACTCAACGTACAATTAGAACGGCAGGGGTATTATATAAAAAACTTAAATAAACGTAAAAAAGAAAACGAGGGCAATGTTATCTTGCAGACTAGGTAGTTTTTTAGAGTGCAAATAGCTCATTCCACGTCTGTTCGCTATGATCGCTGTTCGCTGACGTTTAAGCAACACGTACAGCTACAAAAGGAGTTCAGAAGTGTACAACAGCTTCTGCTGAGTTAACATTTTGTAGAAAAACCTACGAAATTTCAAAAAATGACAAAATTTCACTTTTCAACATACTTAATACTCGTGCGGATAAGTTCGACATAAACTTCAGATTCGACGTTTTGCCTTTAGCAGTGACGCTTGTCGTGAAGAAAGTACTTCATTGTCAAACCATGCTATTTGTATTGCAATAGACAGTAAATATTTATAAACAAAGACATCGAATGCTAAGTTCGTGGCAAATAAGGCAATAGTGCATAATATTTTAGTTAATCATTATTTAAAGAATTGAGAGAAATCAAACAAGTTGTAAATAAAGAAAAATACTAATAGAATGCGTTTTAAAATACACGGATGAGCGGAACAGATAAATATTACTTAAAAACTATCTGAACAACGGGCGTGTTTGTCCGTACGCTACAAATTATCGATTTAAATCCCAAAAAAAAAATGATGCCTCTCTCGTCAGATTTTAGACTTTTTGTCTAACCTTATTTTGATTATGTAATGTGTACGGTTCGTGGTCCAGAGGCTTTGTTTTACTTGGCGAATTTGAAATATACTCTGTAAAAATTATTCCGTGTATGTCCACCAATGCATAATTATATTTTTTTTGACTGATTCAGCACTGAATATTGACATTTCATTTCCAGGTCGTTCAACGACATCCTCAGATGATCGGTTCTGTACCACCGCCTCCAATGCTGCCAGTTCCTCCGCCACCAAGACCACCAATGTTCAATCCCATTCCACCGCCGCCGCCTTTGATGAGAGCTGTTATGCCAGTGCCACCACCACATTAATAAGTTTCAGAATGAAAAATGAAAAATATAGGCTATAATTTGTAGTTTACTGTGTGATTTATCCCAGCGTCTCTGTTATGCTAAAATCAATCATTTGGGATTAATGGAAAGGCGTGTATCAAAGGGGCTAGGCTTCCTAAACATAGGATTAGAACGTATCTTCTAGACGTCAGTAACAATGCTGAGATACTCATTCGCAGAATATGAGAAAGACAACAATACAATAAATACTCACTGAATGTAGGCACATGACCACCAGTAAATTCCTAAAATTGGGTGGAGTATTGCTCTTAATAGTCTAATCATATTATGTATAAACATGGACGTATAAAATGGGTACACCAGTTTTTGTGGGAAAACTTTATTTGACAACAAAGAATGAGAAAACGTGTTTTTTTGGATTCAGTCGGAAGTGTTGACAGGAACAAAAAACTTTTCATATAAGATTCTCAGGTATTTATTTATTTACCTACAAGATGAGGCCACACCTAAAAAGATCCGACTAATAGCAAAAATGTTATGACCGAAAAACTAGGCAATATGCAGGTTTTAGCACTTGGTAATGCGACGATAATTTCATTCGTCTGCTTGAAATTTTTCAAATCCGTAGGATTCATACTTCTAAATAACAAAAACAAAATTTAATTATATTGGTCAAGTAGTTTTTTGAGAATTTCTAATTGTTTATCCCAAAACACCTGTTTTCCAGCCATCACTACTAGTTTATTTATTGAGCAATATACAGGGTTCGTTCAAAGAGCATTTAATAGCAATTCCGAAAGATACATTTTATTTTTATGCGAAAAATAAAGGTTACGTTTATTTCTTCTAAACAAATTCAAACATTTCGCATTTGTGAGTAATTGAACAAATGTATTCGAAAAACATACGTTACTATACAAATTTTAAAACAAAGCCCATGTCTTTATCATCTTTTGTTACGAATTACTCACAAATGCGAAATGATTGAATTTGTTTAGAAGAAAAAACGTAACCCATCCTTTTTGCATAAAAATCATTTATCTTCCGGAATGGTTTGCAATTCATATCGGCAAGGTAAACTGGTGTATTTTGCTATAAAATGCCCTTTGAATTACCCTGTATATTGCTCAATAAACTAGTAGTGATGGCCGGAAAACAGATGATTTGGGAAAAAAATTAGAAATTATCAGAAACTACTTGACAAATCAACTCCAATTTTGTTGTGTTGTTATTTAAAAGTACGAATCCTACGAATTTGTAGAATTTCAAATATCTTTTAAAAACCATCGTCGCATTACCAACAAGTGCCAAAACCTGCAGTTTGCCTCGGTTTTCGGCCATAACTGTTTTGCTGTTAGTCGGATATTTTTACGAGTGGTCTCATAAATACCTAAAAATAGTAAAAAAGAGATTTTTCGTTCCTGCCAACACTCTCGATTGAATCCCAAAATACACGTTTTCTCATCCTGTGATGTCGAATAAGAAGTTTTCCCGCAAAAATTGGTGCACTTATTTTATGCGTCCATCTTTTGAATACCCCCTTGAACAACTTGCAGCAATAAAACTAGATTTCACAATTATTTCGCAAACCAGAGATATTTTCGTCTAATATGATTAAACTATAATTGAAAAGTAATCAGTTCTGTATAGTCAGTGGACTTCTGATACGACCGTTTCTGAGAGGTATTAACTCAAAGAATGTTCATAAGTGATGTAGCTATGATGATAATTATAAGATTGGTTTCACAACAAAATCATACTGTGGGTTTGACAAATCAGCCTAAGAAGTTCACTAAAGACAAGGTAAGTTGCAAAATTTGGAGGTGTGATTTGATCTGTAAAATATTTGAATGTGAGAAGTTCCTTATGCAGGGTGACCAATATATAACTGACTGATTTAAATTGCGCACCATTTTTGTTACACGCATTTCAGCAGGTGGCGCCGTAGTGGTTGTTTAAAGCACATGGGTCCAATTCATCATGGAGTGCTACACGATCGCACAACGCGTGCGAATTGTTAAAACGTCTTCTTAAATAATAATGAGTCGCTTGTTGCAACGATTCGGAAGCTACGACAAGATTTCGGTCGAAATAATGTGCCCAGTGTCAACATCATTCGTCAGTTGGTGCGGAAATTTGAACAGGTGAAGTTAAATACTTGCCAAGGTTGGGCCGTGTTTGAACTGTTCGTACTTTGGAAAATATCGAGAGAGTGCGTGAAAGTGTAGTGGAGCGCCCTGAGACGTCTACCAGACATCGTTCTCAAGAACTGGGTATTCGACGCACGTCATTATGCACTATTTTAAAAAATGACTTGCATTTGCGACCATACAAAATTCAGTTAACCCAAGAACTACAGCCTAGTGACCATGAAAGTCGACGACAATACAGTCATGCAATTTTGCAGCTTAATACCCAAAATAATGATTTTTACCAACAACTGATAATGAGCGATGAAGCACACTTGGATATGAACCGATTTTATAATAAGCAGAATTGTTATATCTGGGCATTAGAGAACCATCGTGTCATTCCATCAACTACCACTATACATCCTCGACGAGTCACAGTTTGGTGCGGTAAATTCTCTCACTGTCCCTGGCGAGCGCTACCGTGATATGGTGCAAAACTCTCTGGCTCCTCAAATCCAACAATTTAACCTGCAAAACATGTGGTTCCAGCAGGACGGAGCAATTTGTCACACAGCTAGGGAAACAATGAATCTTTTACGAACAATGTTTCCGGAGCGTTTAATTTCTCGATTTGGTGATGTCAACTGGCCATCAAGGTCACCGGATTTAACGGCTCCTGACTTTTTTATAGCGATTGCTGAAAAAAGATTTATGCCAACAAACCAAATACTGTAAAGCAGCTGAAGAAAATTATTACGGAAGCGATTGAAAATATTCCTCCCGAAACCTACCAAAAAGTGATGGAAAATGTATTCAAGAGGGATCAGGTTTCCGCGGCTTGTAGAGGCGGACATCTGACTAATATTATATTTCATACATAATTTCTAAGTTTCAATAAAAGATTAAGATGAAAAAAAAATGTACGTATTTTATTTAATATCACAAATATTCAACCTAGTGACAGCAAGACCGATAGTAAGACCGCTTTCATTAATTCATGATTGTGTAGTGCACCATGTCTGTGTACACCATACAGGAATTCGCCAAGATGTACCTTATTTATGGGGCATGTAGATGCAATGCTAGTGCTGCAGCTAGGCTTTATTGTGAGAGGTACCAAATGCTGCTCGGCATCCCAATCACCGAGGTTTGTGAAAGTGCACCGTTTACTCTCAGAAGGACGAATCCCAAATCAAGCACATGGTGAAGAAAGAATTTCCTTTTCTTACGAGGATGTCGTTCTACACGCAGTTCAAGAAAACCCGAGTAATTCAGTACGTCAAATACAACAAAAGTACAGCCTGTCGAATCTTGCTAAAGAACGAGCTCCACCCGTATCACGTACAGCGAGTACAATCTCTACAACCCCGGGATGATCTTAAAAGAGTTGAGTTTGGTCAATGTTACAGAGACACAGGGAAGATTCAACATTTAAATAAGATGGTTACATGAATCTAAACAACTTACACGATGGCATGAAGAAAATCCACATTTAATGAGTCAAGATAGATCGCATTATCGTTTTAAAGTAAACATGTGGACCAGGATTCTAAAGGGAGCATCATTGTACCCTTTGAGCTACCAGAGGCAAAATTTATTTACACAAAATCATTTACCAACATTTTTGGAAGACGTGCCGCTAAGCAGTTACAGACACCAGCAAGACGGCCCGTCGCACTGTGTCCGTTCAGTTAGAGAATGTCTTGATGCGGAATACCCGAGTAGATGGATAGGGCGGTCTGGTTCAATTTCGTGGCCAGTCGTGCTAAGAACGAATCTAAATTTGCAGAAATTGCAACTAAAAGATCACATCACATGGTGCAGATTTTCAGATTTTTTTGAAGCCTATAATTTGTAAACGACTTAGACCTTTTTATGTTCTTCTGATAACTTTTATGACGACCTATCCCGCGTTTTCGGTTTGACGTCGACTTCTGGAATACCCCGAATAACCTGCATGGACTTACCTACATGAGGGTCCTAAATGACCAGTCGATGAGTATACAAGAAACTATGATGGTATCAAACTGGAACCGTTCGTTATCGTAACAGGATGATTCTGTACTCCCTTCCAAAGTGTTTTGGGATTGTCCCGAAACGATTTTGTTATGTAGTGTATTACAGGTCCACAAAATAAAAAGTGGTGTGTTCTGGGTGTCCCTCCATATTTGCCCCATGTGCTTTTTCTTGCTGATCACGAATCTGAAGTCAGAAGTGGAAGAATTTTTTATTTTGACACATTCTATCTTATCTACCGATAATTTATGGAATATAGCAGTTATTTCGTCTTCCTTTTTAACTAGATAGGTAAAAATTCTAGGTATTTTTTGAAATAAAAGATTACAGCAGACCCTCGTAAAAGATAATACGATATAATATATGCGAAATAAACTGCGGTCAGTTTTTGGTACGATTGGAGATATTTCGGTTGGAGTGGGATATTTGTAAAAGCAGCTTATGGCTCACACCAACATACCAAAAATGACCCCAGCAGATTCTTCGACAAAATCACTGTGCGCAATTGATCCAAGAAATCCGTGTGAACATTACTCGATTATTACTAACAAAAAGATCAGAAGCGGGATACGGTCGGCGCATTCCCAAAATGTCCAGCTAGCGGACATATGTTTGAATTCCATTAACTTATTTTGACTGTATTGAATTGTACTTGTGTACTTGTCAGCAGCTCATGATGGTGATACTAATGGCACATCTCCATCACTCTGGCGACTAATTGCATGTCAGACCCAGAACTGTCGTCTTAACAGACGGATAACATCAGTGCCCAATCGGTAGCTGATAACTGTATCCGCACACACTGTTTCGAGGACAATCGTGAAACTTATGGTCATCACGTATCGCTACCGCAAACGACAATGACACCACCAAGGTGTCTGACTTAAACATGGGAATTATTCGTGTTTTCTTTACTCTACTGTATCTAGGTACTCTACTGATTTTCGTTGGTGCTGCGTCAATGACAGCTAAGACAGACTCCAACTCTTCTAATATTATTTCAATAAGGCTGTCTTCATTTTGATAAGAAATACCTGCGTTCATTAATCGAATTCAAATTTGATTATGTTAGCAATAAGTATATTAATATATTCATGCTCTAGGTCTAGGTAAACAAACCGCTTTTGCAAACATTTTTGTTGGTTATGTTTATGGTGCGCCATAAAAAAGGACAAAAAACGCTAGAGATAGTCATCGCTTCTTGGTGATATATCGTCTTATTTTACCGGACTTTAATTTGAAGCAGTTCGGTATAAACTTGCTATGTGTAAGTGCAGGCGTATTTGTATTCAGGACGTTTACTGAAAGTGGAAGAAAACTTACTTTTTGTGACAATATGCTTGGTGACAATAGGTAGTGCTCCAAGAGGTATCATTGGTAAGTGTGAATTCTATCACAGAAGTTTAGAAATATTACGCCTTCACCTTCACTTACTCGTGTACCTTTGATACATGTTGATATATGTATGTATCTTGACAGATTTTGAGAGCAGCGTATTAGACGCACCTTTGATTATATACCGTTTATTTTTCGAAAATTTCTTCTGCCTGCGGGCCGTGGAGCTGTCAGTTGGGGCACATAAAGTGTTTTTGCCTTTAAGGTGACGGAGAGGTGCAGAAATCGCGAGCTTCGCAATTGTTTAGTAAACTTGTCCAGTAATGGTGAGTCTCATGTTGTTGCTCTTGATATCACGGAAACGTTTGATCAGCTATGGTACGCTGCCCTCTTATGTAAACTTCCATCCTATGGCCACCCAGGGAAGCTTTGCAAAATATCCGTTGTAATTGACGGGTTCTCCTCTTCATCCCACAATGTCAATGCAGGTGTTCCCCAGGGATCGATCTTGACTCCGATACTGTTCCTGTCACATATCAGTGACCTCCTTTCCTGTACGCTCAACGAAATACACAGCTTTGCTGATGGCAGCACCCTTCGTGCAAGAATTCAGAGAAGAGCAGAGACTTCCTCTCTGACCAGAGATCTGGTGGTTATCACTAGTTGGGGAGCAACAATATTGTACAGTTTAATGCTTACAGAACACAGTACCACACCTTGACGAACAAGAAGCGTCCTAGCGCTCATCCGCACGGGTATCACGTATCTTGAAAAGTGGCATTATGCCGATTTTTTTTGACATTATGCTGTTTTTTTTTGGACATTATGTAGGTTTTTCTGCAAGATGTTAGCTTAGCACTTAGTTGTACGTGTTGCCTAAACGTCATGAGGCTTATTATCAATCTTTGGTTCTGATGTGATGTAAAATTTGCCTCTGGGATGGCATTACAGGAGGTCTAACTAAGCTTTAAGTGGTATGTGTTAATGATAATTATATTGGGTTGTTGTCTCAAATACACTTGATTGAGATTCAAAGCAATCACTTATTCTTATCTATTCTGGAAATTACCTAGACAAATTTGCTGAACTTCAAAAATGAGAGAGATAAACAATTATATTCACTGTACACTGTCGAATTACAAGCCATATACCTGGTACCAGTGATTACACACAATGCGGGCACGGTGATGATTTCCCGTAATTCTCCTCAGTTTTTCGTAATTTGTAACTTTGAACATAACCTCTCTTCAGAAAGCACAACATAAAAATAACCCGTCGCACACAGCCAATAGATTATACTTCATTGGTAGCATATTCAGTAATGATTTTCTTACACAGCAAATATCACTGATTTTATATACATGCAGACCAATACACATAATCATCCAGAGGCGATCTTGCTATTCAACCAACTTTCTTTTCAGAGATACTAAGTACAGACTAGAACCACTCGGCTTCATAAAACACATGCAACCAATAATGCGTGTAGTTTAGTTGAGTGATTCCTCCATAGATAGCCGTTCACAACGATCCTAGTGAGCAAACATGGAAAGACTGCGCCCTAAAAACTACCTAGTTTGCAGGATGACATCTTATAGGTTTTTTGACGTTTTGACATGATACCCATGCCGGTTTCGATGGATGGTCGAGGATTGTCAAATAGCCGTTCATTTTGGCAGGTGGGGGCCCAGATTACCGAGGATCTAATCTGGCAGGAGCATATCTCGTCAATAGTTGCAGCTGCTGGGAAAAATCTAGACTATTTGTTTAGGGCTAAGATGTACTTTTCTCCATGACACGTTTGTGGTGCTATTGCCCCGGCCACATTATTATGCTCGATGCTGCTCAGAGGAGGACTGTCCCTCTGATCGATGACTTGTCTCTAACAGATAGTCTTGGGACCTTTTCGCACCGGCGGGGCGACGGCGATCTAGCTCTATTCTACCGCTATACCAACGGGCTTTGCTCCTCCGAGCTCTCCTCCATGATACCCCGAGTGATGCGCCTGCCAGTCAGTCCCGCTTGACTGAGAACTCCTATCCTAACCGTATCGAACTTCGTATATCCAGAAATGGCCGACGTGACCGCTCCTTTGTTCCTAGGGTATCGAGATTGTGGAATAATCTACATGAGGAGATTTTTACCAGTTTCTTTAAGCTCCTCATAGCAGCCGGGGTGTTCTGTCTTTTAGGCTTCTGCCTCTGAGGCTGCTTCGGTGTAAAAACGGGCTTTAGTTGTCCCACCCCAGAAACGCAAACCGTACCTTAGCCTTGATTCGATTCGAGCATAAGGCATAGAAATAGACACCCTGAAAGAACTCTTCCTAGATTTCTGATGGCACAAGTTTGTGAGTTTGTTTTTGAGACTAGATACAATGGTTTTTAAAATTTAAGGTACAATCCCAGAAAGCATATTTGTGTATCAGCAGGTATTATTGAGCCATTTAAGGTGAGATGGATGCATTCAAGAGTCACATAGAAAACAAAACCTACATCTTCAGCGACCTGTAATTTCAACTGCTGTGTCCAGATACAATACATATAAAAAATCCTGGGGATCAACGCCTATCTCATCCAGGTTGTTAGGTATCCCCTTGTGATCGATTCGAGAAATATATAGCCTCCGCCTCTGCGATTTTTATGTTGGCTCTCCAGTGCGGTGTTGAGGGTTTCTGATGATCACAAAAAACATTAATCACCACTGAGAAACGAAGGGACGTCGAACGTAACATAAAACGAAAATTATACTGCCGACAGGAATGCGTTTAAAAACTTAATTGATAAAACAGAGAGAATGACTGGCAGCCTAGTAGCCAACCATACACATCAATGGTTTATCGAGAGCTAACTTTAAACGAATTTTAAAAGTTCAAATTCAATAAGGTCACAGAAACTTGGAGCCATAGACAAAAAAGAATGAGGTAAACTGTGGTTGAATAATAGTATGTAGCAGAAGCATTCAGTCTAAATACATACCGGCACACAAAACAATACTATACTTACAGTAAAATTACAAAATTGAGATTATTTTAAAAATATTCTACTGAATCTCATCTCAGCTTACAAATGTCATTTATTTATTTATTTATTTCCAACAGGTGAAACCCAATTGCAGGAAATGCTGAGAAAAATAACAATTAAAGAGACATGGTTCTTGGACTTAAATCTATAGTATCACACATTCTAAACAAGATTGGATGATCTATAGCAGTTAATAATCGATGCACAACTGTCACTGTAAATATCACATGATTCAGTAACACTGTTCATGACGCAGCACATGAGATTAATTGGCGATTTTGTCATATGATTTGTACGGCCAGCTTGACAATAGAATGCTGTTTGTTGTCGACTCCCTAGCCTTGGAACGCGGAAACATATTTTTTTTTCAAGTAAATTTTGACAGTCAATTTTATTGTGAATGAGGCCATACAAAAACGACAAAGCAAATATGTTTCGTCTTGTTGACAGTGAATCCAAATTGAAAAACTCTAATAGGGCACTATGGTCACAACCTCTTTCTGGATAAAAACCTGTGCATTTAAGGTGAAAATACTTTTAAGCTCAAGGATCACGACAGAATTTTGGTATATAGGAGACCAGATCAGAGTCGCATACTCCAACTTGCTCCTGACAAAAGTAAAAAATAAAGTCATTAATGTATCAACATTGGAGAACTCCTTCCAGTTTCTGATACAGAAACCAAGTAGTCGAGTGGCAGCAGACGAGGTATTGAGTATATGCTCAGTAAACACATCATGATGGTATGCGAGTTGATCTATTCCTATAACCCAGGCAATCTAGCGAAAATCTAAAGTAAGTTCCGTGAGAAATTCTAAGTGGACAAATGATTTGGTGAAAACTTGTGAAGACGGATACTGAATGAGAATACGGCTCGTGCCAGTAAAAAATGTTTCCCTTCAATTTTTTATTAGTAAGAAATAGGGTTAAAAATCATGTATTTTTTGTACCTTATGTGTTTAGAGTTTTTGGAGCAAGGTTGCCGTTTGGCATTAAGAGATCTTCGAAAGATGCGTTTGATTACAAACTGTTATATGTGTACTACAGTTATAAAAAACAATACTTTGTATTAAATTGCTCGATCCCGCGTTATAGGTCAAGAACCCGAGGCGTCAGCAAGACGACACCGCCAGTCGCAACGACAGCAGAAACCTTTATTAAAACTATTTTCCTTTTATATTTTAATTCATTATCATTCCAACTTGTAACACGTTCATGTCTACAAAATAAATATTTTTTAAAAACTCCTTGTTGTGGCTGAGAAACATAATTGGCGCTGCGAACAGGATATCTGCACGGCATCCACCCAAGAAGGATCATCGGTTCGTCTTAACGATTTGGCAGATTTCTACCTGGGGTCACGAAGAAACACCGAGAAATTGGAGGACCATACTGGCGATGAAAATCAGTGCGATTCTTCTCATCCTGTAAGTCCATTTCCTTTTCATATGAGTTCTGAGTACCCTCAAGATTCATTTCAAGCTATAGTTAATTTTTCACACAAGTCGCAAAACAAATCTAGATTTTAACCCTACAGTAAACATTCAAAGAGGTCAGAAGACGATATTGTTGATAACCCATCTAATACTTTCGAACAATCTACAAAAATGGTTATATCTAACTCTGATGTTAATAACTTGTGTAATACTCTTCCTGAATTTAAAGTTGGAGATAATCTTTCTACATTTATAAGCTCTGTAGATAATTTAATCACATTTTTCAACCAACAAGGAGCTGATGCAGTACAATTGTATATTATTAATGCACATATTTTATCCAAAGTAAAAGGTGAAGCTCGAGATTTTCTGAACATTCATAATAAAAATTCGTGGCCAGATATTAAACCACTTTTATTACAAAAATACGGTGACCACCGTAATGAAGAAATTTTGTTAACTCAATTAACTACAACTGTTCAGAAACGCTCAGAGACTTACCAAGATTATCATCATCGTATAACCTTGGCACTGAATGACCTTTTACAACATGTTTTATTAAGTGAAAGTAATGCCCAGGCAGTAGAGTTCAAGGCTTCATTTTTCCGGAAACAAGCTCTAAGAACTTTCTGCACAGGCATCAACAACCCTTATTGTGACCATCTTTCTCATTTCGAATTGAATACTTTAGATGATGCTCTCCAAAAGTGTATCTCTCTTGACAATCACAGACAGCAACAACAATACATGTCTTACTTGAAATCCACGAATCACCCCCGCGATTACCAAAAACCTCAACCTCGTCCCAATCCAAACAACTTCAATACTTCGAACAAACCCAATAATCCCAATAACCAATACCATCGTAATTTTAATCAGCCCAATTCGTCTAATCAATCTTTCAACCAAAATTCTATGCATCCTAGACCTTTTGGCGATATAAATAAGCCCATCCAACAGAGACAATCTTTTCCGACAAATCGTCAAGTCTTTGGTCCATCGTCTAGGCCTAATAATTCACAAGACCAACGAAACCAATATAAACCAACTCCCATGTCTGGTATTCATTCCCAGAGATCTTCAAATTCCAAACCTACCCCAATGTCTATGTCCTCTTACCGCACGTTCCATCATAATGTTGAATGTGAACCCGAGTCCCCGCCTAGTTTACCTTATAACGAAGCAGACTGTATACCTGAGACAGATTGCTACGAAAACTTTGATTCTCCTGAGGAAAATTTTCTAGAAGCAGCCTCAATGGAACCCGCACCCAACATAGAATCATTCAGTTGAATAATTTTTCCAAAGCAACGAAACTTCCTTACTTCTACCTTCCACATTCCAAATTAAAAGTTCTCATCGACTCCGGTGGCTCTGATACAGTAATTACTCCCAGAGCTGCTCAAAATTTCGACTCGAAATATGAATTCTATGAACCTTTTACCCTCATATCGATGAAAACCCCAAAAACATATACACGCAATCTTTACTACCCTTTGTTCGAAGAAATTGGTATACAGCAAGCCCTTACAATTAGAATTGCCGACTGGCATGACGATTTCGATGTACTTTTAGGTACAGGTGAACTCGATCAACTAGGAGCCAATATTGATTACGAAACACATGTATTTTCTATTCCAAAATTACAGATCTCTATTCCATTTAAGATAATTTACCGTAGTAATAAACGACTACGTATTCCGGTCTCCATTAATAATGGCGAAGTTGTCATTTCTTATATTATACATGAAAATCAAGTAATAGTTCCAGCATCAATTCATGTAGCTGAAGACGGATTCATAGAAATTCCACGTCCCAACAATGTTGAAATCAACTTCTCACAACCAATCTCCGCCACATCCATTTCAGATTTCGAAGAAATCACTCCCCCATCGTCTGGCGACAATTATTTTGATCTTAATTTGTTACGGACAGACCATTTGAATGCAGAAGAGAAAGAAAAGATCCTCCATCTTTGTCATCGATTTAAAGATATTTTTCATACAGAAAATTCTCCTTTAACCGTTACTACTTCTGTAAAACATGTTATTCGAACTAAAGATGAAACACCAATCTTCACCCGCTCTTATCGACACCCAAAATCAATGCTACCTGAAATTTCCGACCAAATCAATAAATTACTACAGAACAATGTCATCCGCCCTTCTATAAGTCCCTACTCAGCCCCTGTATGGATAGTTGCGAAAAAACTTGACGCAAGTGGTAAAAGAAAATTCCGTATGGTCATCGACTATAGACGTCTTAACGAAAACACAATCGAAGATAAATACCCTCTTCCCCGCATTGACGAAATTCTTGACAACCTAGGACGCTGTTCATACTTTACCACCCTTGATTTGGCACAGGGTTTCCACCAAATCGAAGTCCACCCAGATTCTATAGAAAAGACAGCTTTCACAGTTCCTAACGGTCATTTCGAGTACCTTAGAATGCCTTTCGGATTACGAAATGCACCAGCCACTTTCGAGAGAATGATGGATGAAATCCTAAGAGAATTCTTATACAAATCTTGTTTTGTCTATATGGACGACGTCATCATATTTTCCAAATCCCTCCAGGAACATTTAATTCATATTAAACAGATTTTCCAAAAATTCCGAGAAGTTAACCTCAAGATTCAGCCCGATAAATCCGAATTCTTGAGTAAGTCAGTAGCGTTTCTAGGCCACGTCATAACACCTGAAGGCATAAAACCAAATCCTTCAAAAATTTCAGCCATTGAAAACTTTCCTATACCCAAGACGGTGAAAGAAATCAAAAGCTTTCTTGGTCTGGTAGGATACTACCGACGTTTCATTCCGAACTTTTCCAAAATCACATACCCCATGACACGCTGCACTAGAAAAGGTACTAAAATCGATATCGAAGATCCCAGATATATTGAATGTTTCGAGAAATGTAAATCCGCTCTCAGTAACTCCCCTATTCTCCAATACCCTGATTTTTCCCTACCATTTACCCTCACTACAGACGCTTCAAACATAGCGATCGGTTCTGTCCTTACACAGAAAGGAAATCCGATAGCCTATTATTCTCGCACCCTAAATTCAGCAGAGAAAAATTATTCTACAATCGAAAAAGAACTTCTTGCCATACTCGATTCCTGCAAAGTATTCCGCCCCTATGTATATGGTGTAAAATTTACTGTGGAAACAGATCACAACCCCTTAGTCTGGTTATACAAAATTAAGGAA